AGAGACGGGGTTTCACCATGTTGACCAGGATGGTCTCGATCTCTTGACCTCGTGATCCACCCGCCTCGGCCTCCCAAAGTGCTGGGATTACAGGCGTGAGCCACTGCGCCCGGCCGTATAATATATCTTATATAAGTTTCATGTATGAAAATGTTAGGAAAATCTTAAGTATTGTCTTTACTGATACATTTTCTAGGCAATCTTCAAAAGAGTATCTCATTTTCTGGGTATCTGAACGCACAAACTTGATGAGAGCTAGAATGATGAAACACCATTGGCCTGATGATATACAGTAAACTCATAGGAAAGAACATATTCCTATTTTGTGTCAAAAAATTTATATTTAGTTAGAAAAAATAAGACATTCACTATATAAGGGTAAAAAAAATATTTTTTAAAACACAGTCACTGCTGACCAATGCCATTTTTTTGCTTTTGTTTTTGAGGCAGAGTCTCACTCTGTCACCAGGATGGAGAGCAGTAGCGTGATCTCGGCTCACTGCAACCTCTGCCTCCAAGGTTCATGCAATTCTCCTGCCTCAGCCTCCTGAGGAGCTGAGACTACAGGCGCATTATCACCACACCTGGCTAATTTTTGTATTTTTAGTAGAGATGGGGTTTCATGATGTTAGCCAGGCTGGTCTCAAACTCCTGACTGCAAATGATCCACCCACTTCAGCCTCCCAAAGTGCTGGGATTACAGGCATAAACCACTGCACCTGGGCTGACTGGTGCCATTTTTATACACAGTATTTAATCTATATATTAAGGCCAGAACATAAAGTCTAAAAATTAATCCGTTAGTTTAATTTAAAAATTTCTGTATTTGAAAAAACTTTGCAGAAAGTATTTGTACAATCACAAAGAAATATCATAGACTTTTTCATTCATGGGTTTAACATGCATAGTTTTTAACATTCTCATGTAACCCTGAAGTTCTATGACAGGTAGTAATTTGTAATTTTATTTGAGTCACATATTTCATTTAGATACACTAAAAGGCTGGTTGGTATTCCTGAAAGAGTAAATATAATATCAGACAAATTAACATCTGTATCTCTCTCTGCTCATTCTTGAATACACAGTAACTTTAATATAATACCTGAAGTATACAATTTTTATTTTTTAATTATCATCTTTTTTAATATGGGAAATCACATATGACAGTGGAATTTGCAAATATGTGGATTCACAAAGCAAGGTCTCTGGATGTTCCTCCCAAGAAATCAAAGGGTTTAAGGGTGGCTCTCAATAAAATGCAAGATTTTAGTACTATCTATCTATAAAGTACATCATAATCTACTTACATGTTCAACAGGAAGAACTGACAATTCTAAGGTTCAAATTTAACTGGTTCTACTAAATTTTAGCGTGATTCCTTTTAAAATCAAAGTTAACGTATATTACGTCAGGTGTGGTGGCTCACGCCTGTAATCCCAGCACTTTGGGAGGCCGAGGCAGGTAGATTACTTGAGATTAGGAGTTTGAGACCAGCCTGGCCAACATAGCAAAGCTCTGTCTCTACTAAAAATACAAAAATTAGCTGGGTGTGGTGTCACGCACCTGTAGTCCCAGCTACTCAGGAGGCTGAGGCATAAGAATCGCTTGAACCCGGGAAACAGAGGCTGCAGTGAGCTGAGATCACACCACTGCACTCCAGCCTGGGCAACAGAGCAAGGCTTTGTTTAAAAAAAAAAAAAAAAAAAAAAAAAAAAAAAAAGTTACTGTACATTAGCTACCTGACTGGAGAATAAGAAAACATTGTATGTATCTGACTTTTGGATAGTAAAATAATTATATCATGCAAAGCTCACCTAAATTCTCTTATGTGAAATTCAGAACTGAAGCAGCTCTTCGTACAAATATTTTGCCAGAGCAGCAATTCAAAGCGATATTGATTGCAATGCACAACTGTACTAATTGTAGCCCTATCTAAAATATAAATGTTATCTTCTTCCATTTGCATCAGAAAAAAACTCTTAGTAATATTTCACCAACATTCCTTAGTTTCATCTTCAAACAAATGAACAACTACTTACAAATACATCTATAGCCCACTGCCTAGCAATACAGTGAGAAATATACATAAATATAGACTTACAATAGATAAGAAACTATTGTGTGCTATAGATTATGATTACCTGGAGGTAGGAATTGCAGCTGGTTATTAGCCAATCGAAGATGACGTAAAGCTCGCAGACGACCAATTTCTGGGCAAACAATTTCTAAGGCATTGTCACTAAGATCCAGACATTGGAGTTTTACAAGGGACCCAATGGCTTCAAAGAGAAAAGGAGAAGGCAAAATGAATTTGACTCAAGTATTACATCAAATCTTTAATGCATGTATTCCAAGTTAAAATATTTTACTACTTAACAGCTTTGTATCAGCTGCTCACAAAATAGTAAAAACACAGATCAAACTAAGTTTATAAAAGTGATAAATACTTCTACCTCACGATAAAATATAACTTAAAATACAGCACAAATAAAAACATTAAAACTAAAATAATTCAAGAAATGATACACAGGTACTTTTTTATCTGACCAGAATTCTTAACTGGATTTATTAAATTTAGAATTTACTTTATTATCTACATAATAGCAATTTATCTAATAATAGTATACCTAACCATTATAACCATTTTAGACTTATTCATTTAACTACAGTTCTTAAAAGAACTTATTAGAAAAAAAAAGTTTTAAAACTAATAAATTAAGGGTGTCTTAAAATTAAAATTTGTTGTATTATAAAGCAAAGCTTAAATTATATTATCTTCTACCTAAAAATTCTAAGTAAACGTACCTTCTGGTACCACAACTATGTTATTTGAGTGCAGGTATCTAGGAAGGAAAAAGAAAAAAAACAGCCATTATCATTAGGCACCCTTGCCAGATCAGTTTATAAAATGCTCACTTAGAAATTTATCAAATATAAATAGGCCGCAACTTTCACACCCTACTCTAATGCATCAACATACAATACATGGCTATCACAGCTAACTAATAATACTTTGAGAATAATATTTTGTATCAGAATTGCAAATATTAAATATATTTACTGATTCAGTTATTTTAAAATAAAAGCATACATAATGAATAAACTATAAGGATTTTTTAACTTCATAACACAAATTACTAGTTTTTCCAGTTCATTTTCTTCAGGTTTTAAAAAATATACTTGTGTGAAGAAAAATCAACATCTATTGTGTAAAGGAAGATGAGCTTTCCATTTCTATAAAATAACTTTACAAAATAAGATATTTGTAGCTAGCATGCATACGGAGAACCAACAACGGAGAGATTAAACACTCATCATTTACAGTGTCTGTAGAAATACTCAACTGCCAAGGTATAGAATTTATTTCATGGCAAAAGAAATTTTGTAACAAGAAATTAACTGGTTCTCTTAAAAATTTTCTTTTTCACAGAGGCTGAGAAGTCTAGCAAGCCTAAGTAATACTTTTCCCACTACAATGTCTTTAGCACACTCTGGTGGAGACATCCTGCAATCAGTAACCAACTACTCAGAGCAAAACAAGTGACTGCTGGAGATCATATAGCAATAATTTAAGAAAATAATTTACATCATTGATTAAGAGACAAGAGAACTAGATTTTAGTAAACTTTATTTTCAAACCTATGGTTTTACTGTATTTTAAAAATAAATCTTTATAAAGTATTTTAAAATAGAATTTAGTTTTCTTCTGCATTTTTAAAAATCTAATATTGAATGTTAAAATGTCAATAAACACAAAATAAGAAAGAAAATTAATTATTTCATAAAGATTATTTTATGTTGAATTAAATCAATTTTGTAGAAGGTTAACTAACCTGCTGGAATAACACAATTTAAATAAGTCCACCATTTACTCTATATATTTCATTCCTTGCTCTGTGTATATGAAATGATTACACATTTTAAAATCAATACTCTTTAAACATTAATTTTAGGAAGGAATACCCAAATCAAAACAGAAAACAGGTTTAAAAATTTTTTTCAACAAAATACTTGCCTCCATTCAAGTTCTAGCTATAAAAAAAGACCTTAAAATGTCCAAATCAAAATATGAAGTAAAGTACCCACTATTATCATTAGAATTTTTCAAATAGACTTTAAAACATTAAATTTATCTACATATAATGAAGATGCTGTATGAAATAATACACAGGCTGCCAAGGAAGCATTGTTAAAGTCTGTCCTCCCACTACCATCATGTCTATGTCAGTCTCCTGAAGAGCCCAAACAGCTAATGTAAGCTCTTCACTGGAGGCCTGAGCTTTGAAACAACCGATAAGAGCCTGAGGAGCCATTCTGAGCAATGGGGAATGCTCGCAGACTGTGTGATCATGAGAGATTCCAACACCAAGTGCGCCAGGGGCTTTGGGCTTGTTGCTGTGTCACTGTGGAGGAGGTGGAAGCAGCCATGAATGCAAGGCCACACAGGTGGATGGAAGAGTTGTGGAATCAAAGACAGTTGTCTCAAGAGAAGATTCTCAAAGACCAGGTACCCACTTAACTGTGCAAAAGATATTTGCTGGTGACATTAAAGAAGACACTAAAGAACATCACCTAAGAGGTTATTTTTAACTGTATGGAAAAACTCAAGTGATGGAGATCACGACTCATCGAGGCAGTGGCAAGAAAAGGAGCTTTGACTTTGTAACCTTTGATGACCATGACTCCGTGGATAAAACTGTTATTCAGAAATACTATAATGTGAATGGCCACAACTGTGAAGTTATGAAAGCCTTGTCAAAGCAAGAGATGGCCAGTGCTTCATCCAGCCAAGAGGTTGAAGTGGTTCTGGAAATTGTGGTGGTGTTCGTGGAGGTGGTTTTGATGGGAATGACAACTTTGGTCATGATGGAAACTTCAACAGTCATGGTGGCTTTGGTGGCAGCCATGGTGACAGTGGATACGGTGGCAGTGGGGACGGCTACAATAGATTTGGTAATGATAGAAGCAATTCTGGATGTGGTGGAAGCTACAATGATTTTGACAGTTACAATAGTCAGTCTTCGAATTTTAAACCCATGAAGGGAGAAAACTTCGGTGGCAGAAGCTCTGGCTCCTATGGTGGTAGAGTTCAGTGCTTTACCAAACCACGAAATTAAAGTGATTATGCCAGTTCCAGTAGCAGCAGTAGCTATGGCAGTGTCAGAAGATTTTCATTACTGCCAGGAAACAAAGCTTAGCAGGAGAGGAGAAAAGTGGTAGGTAAGCTACAGGTTACAACAGTTTTGTGAACTCAGCCAAGCACAGTGGTGGCAGGGCCTAGCTGCTACAAAGAAGACATGTTTTAGACAAACACTCACGTATGTGGGCAAAAAGTTTGAGGACGGTGTTTGTGACTAATTGTGTAACAGGTTATTTTAGTTTCTGTTCTGTGGAAAGTGTAAAGCATTCCAACAAAGGGTTTTAATGTAGATTTTTTTTCTGCACCCGTGCTGATTGCTAAATGTGGTAGTCTCATCATGACACTGAATAAATGTGTCTTTAAAAAAATAGTACAGAGTGTTGCCAATCCTGACTGCACGTTAGAATCACCGGGGATCTTATTGGTGTCCAAGATCATCCTGTAGCAAGTGAAACATCTTCTCAACTCAAATAATCCTCATGTACAACCAATTAGGAACCATTACTGGTTCAGGGGATCAGACAGTGGGCTCTGAAGCCACACTGCCTGTACCCTAATAGCCATGTGACTATGGAGAAATTACTGAACTGCTCTCTCTCCTAATCTATGATGTTGTAGGGACTAAATGAATTAATAAATGTAAAGCTCTTAGAATACTGCTTGGCTCCTAGTAAGAGTTAAGTAAGTGTACTTGTTATTGTTGTTATTATAGTTACTATGAGTCATTTGTAATCATAGGCATAGGACTTTCAAATATAAGTCACTTCCCTTTACTTAATTTTGGTAATTTCAGAGTAGTTGAAATGTTGATGTTTCGGTGTTTTTATTATGTTCCTCTTCTACTCAAATAATGCAGGAACTCTCATTCATTGTTTGTGGGAATGTCGCTTTGGGGTATACCCACTTTGGAAAATGGCTTGGCAGCTTTTTTAAATAATGTTAAATATAGATATTTACTTAATAGGAATATTCCAAAGTCAGTTTTTTACTTTTGACAAATGTACCATGGAATTCTAAGATGCTAACAACAGGACACACTGGATAAGGGGTATACCAGAATGCTCTGTACTATGTTTATAACTTTTCTGTAAACATAAAATT